CACACAATAACAACTTGCAGTAATGTCCGACAAAATTATTCCTTCTTTGCTTACATTATCGGTTGAACTTACGTATCGGATTCTGAATCATATAGATACATTAACTCTTGTATGCTCAATGCGCAATGTTTTCACACGCATGAATCGAATTATGGGCACATATCATCGATATCAGGTATAGTTTTCGTTATGTTAATCATTCATTTTCGAAATATTCTTCGCTATCATAATACATCGTATCTTTATGAGCTTTTATTTTCTTCATCTCAAAATATTAGATTGAACAGGACAAATATAATTTTTTTATTAGAAATTATATAAAATCTACTTTAGATGAGTCAGAAAGAATCATCGTTATCAAATATTCAAATTAAATAAAACAAAACCTTTCCACAAAGCAATATATCTACTTAAATTTGAGTAGAAGAAAATATTAAGAACTCGAAAAACATTCTGATAGAAACGTTCTCTATCAGGATTTATTAATTGATGAAAAACCTTCTGAAATTGAATATTTGGATAAAGTATATTCTCATAACATTACAGGGTGCTCCATAAGTTGTGGCAGATTTTTTTAAAATCTACATTTAAAAATCTGCCACAACTTATGGGGCATCCTGTATTTTTCTTGTTCAAAATGAGATAAAAAGAAGTATTCTTTTTATCCTACAAAATTCATAATAATTTAAAGGATTTTATTATTTTATGAAAAACAATTAGAGACGGGCAGAGCATTATGATGAATGATTGAAAGATCAGAATTTCTCATCCTATTAGAACATTTTAATTTTTCTGCAACTGAAATTGACAATAATTTGGGTCAATTGCTTCGATAATTGTTTTATATTCAATAGGTTTATCCGTGACTTGTCTCATTCTAATATACTCATCACGGTTTTGAATGCGTATCTTAAGTAGTTTTTTTGATTCATCATAATGATTTAAACACTTAATAACATCTTCGATTCATCTTTATTGTGAATATAATGAGGGTTATTCCGAATTCGCTTATAAGCCTCCAGCCAATAAGAATAGGGATGAACATATATCATTTGTTGCTAAGAGCGGCTTGTCTTCTTTGATTTTTTTTTCTTGGCACTATTCATTCGTTTCACTTCCATATGAAAGTGAAACGAATGAATAGTGCCAAGAAATAAAATCAAAGAAGACAAGCCGCTCTTAGCAACAAACGATATATGTTCATCCCTATTTTTATTGGCTGGAGGCTTATAAGCGAATTCGGAATAACCCTCATTCATCAAAAATAATTACATATAAATTGTCATATATTCGACTACTCAAAGAATCTGTTGCATTTAAAGATTGAATTATGAGATTTACTTACAAGTGTCATCATCGTTTGATGCCTCTTTGTACTTTGCATAGAACATTACCATGCTGGATCGCGCAGATCGCGGTATCGATGATCAAGGCGTACAACGTTTAGTTGACGCTCTTGCAAGAAAACAAAGTAATATTTTCCTTTCATTTTCTTATTCTATCATTCATCGATTATTTCACATAGACAGTCACTACACTAAACCTCAACAACAATGCAATGAAATCACAAGGAGCACACTATCTTGCCAATGCTCTGCAAAAGAACAACATAATATTATTTTCTCGTTCTTTATCCTATCGCTCATTCATTATTTTACATAGACCCTCACCACATTGGATCTCCATTGCAATGATATCAGTGATCAAGGAGTAAAGTATTTAGCAAATACTCTACAAAAAAACAAAGTAATATTCTTTCGTCATTTTCTTATCCTATCATTCATGTATTATTTCCCACAGACACTCGTCACACTGCATCTCGGACAGACTCACATTAGTGACCAAGGAGCATATTATCTTGCTAATGCTCTACAAAACAACCAAGTAACATTCCTCTGACATTTTCTCATTCTATCACTCACTCATTATTTTCACACAGACACTCATCACACCGCACCTCGGATGGAATGAAATTGGTGCACAAGGAGCAAAACATCTTGCCAGTGCTCTACAAAACAATAAAGTAACATTCTTCTCAACCGTTTCTTATCCTAACACTCACCGATTATTTCACATAGACACTCACTACACTGGACCTCTACAGCACTGAAATCAAATCACAAGGAGCACACTATCTTGCCAGTGCTCTAGAAAAAAAACAAAGAAACGTTCGTGTCTCGTTCTTTTATAATGTTACTCAATGATGATTTCACATCGACACTCACCACATTGAACCTTCAACGCAATTATATCAGCAATCAAGGAGTAAATTATTTAGCCGATGCTCTGCAAGAAAATGAAGTAACATTCGTTCGTCATTTTCTCATTCTATTACTTATTCATTATTTCATACAGGCACTTACCACATTGGATCTCCAAGAGAATAATATCGGTTCACAAGATGCACAATATCTGGCAAATACTCTCAAAGAAAATAAAGTAAAATTCTTCTCTCATTCGCTCATCCTGTCACTTACTCATTAATTCACATAGACGCTCACTACATTGAATCTTGGACGGAATGCAATTGACGCATAAGGAGCAAAATATCTTCCCAATGCTCTCAAAAACAGCAAAGTAACACTCTTCTCATATTTTCTTATTCTATCACTCACTGATTATTTCACATAGACACTCACTACACTGAATCTTGAGAACAATTGTATCGATGGTCAAGGAACAGAATATCTTGCTATTGCTCTAAAGTGAAACAAAGTAACACTCTTCTCTCACTTTTTCTCCGATCATTCACTCATTATTTTATGTAGACACTCACTGTACTAGATCTTGAATCGAACGTAATTGGTGATTACGGAGCACAACATCTTGCCAGTGCTCTACAAAAAAACAAAGTAACATTCATCCTTCATTTTCTTGTTCTATTACTCACTCGTTATCTCTCATAGACATTCACCACACTGAACCTTGGGCTAAATGATATCAATGGTCAAGGAGCAGAATATTTAGTCAATGCCCTACAAGAAAACAAAGTAACATTCTTCCTTCATCTTTATATCTTCTTATCACTCACTGATTATGTCACATAGACACTCACCATATTGGACCTCAGTGGGACTTATATTGGTGACCAAAGGTTAGAATATCTTGCCAATATCCTACAAGGAAACAAAGTAATCTTCTCTTCTCGGTTTTTTTATTTTATCACTCACTCATTATCTAACATGGATACTCACTACACTAAATGTCCCTGCGACTCGTATCGGTCCAGTAGGAGCATCCTATCTTTCTAACGTTCTCAGAGAAAACAAAGTAATGTTCTTTCTTCATTTTTTATCCTGTTACTAACTGATTATTTCACATAGACACTCATTACACTGAATCTTGGATGGAATCAAATTGCTCCACAAGGAGCACAACATCTTGCCATTGCTCTACAAGAAAACAAAGTAACATTCTTTCCGTATTTGCTTATCCTATTACGTACTCATCATTTCACACAGACACTCAACACATTGAATCTCACTCAGACTCATATTGGTCCAGAAGCAGCATCCTATCTTTCTAATGCTCTCAAAGAAAACAAGGTAGCGTTCTTTCTTCATTTTTTTTATCCTGTGACTGACACATTATTCCACATAGGCACTCACCACACTGATCCTTCGACCGAATAAAATCGGTGACCAAGGAGCACAATATATTGCCGATGGTTTACAACAAAATAAAGTAACATTCCTTCCTCATTTTCTTATTCTATCATTCGTTCATTATTTCACATAGACACTCATTGAACTGGACGTCTTAATGAATGACATCGGTCCAGAAGGTGCATCCTATCTTTGTAATGCTCTCAAGAAAAACAAAGTGACATTTTCTTCTGAGTTTTTCTTGTATTACTCACGGATTATTTCACGTAGACACTCACCACATTGAACCTCCAATGCAATGATATCGGTGCTCAAGGAGCAGAATATTTAGTCGATGTCCTACGAGAAAACAAAGTAACATTTTCTTCTCATTTTCTTATGCTAGTATTCATTGATTGTTTCACCTAGACACTCGTCATACTACAGCTACACAATTGTCAAATCCATAGTGGTGCAGAACAACGTCTCAAGGATATATGGAGAAATAATCTGGAGCTAAAGCTGAGCATATAGACGTCACAAAAGCGAACGATTGTGCATCACAATGATGCTGTTTTTTTGAACGATGAACTGAGTAGTATTTGACATACATCAAATATGTATTCTATTCATTGATATTAGTAATAAACCTGATATACTTCCAGTATGAGAAACATATTTCAAAATCTTGTTTTATTTTATGAATCTCTCTGGATTAGATGAAATCTTCGGGGTGGGTGTGGGTCTGGGTCTGGGTATAGGTGTGGGATGTGGATATCTTTTCCTCACACCCACACCTACACCCACACCCCACATTCACACACCCACACCCCACCCACACTCACCCACACCCACCCACACCCACCCATTCCCCCACATCCACAACCACACCCACCCACAACCACACCCCATACCCACACCCACCCACACCCCACAGCCACATCCACACCCACCCCACACCCACACCCACCCCACACCCACCCACACCCCACAGCCACACCCCACAGCCACGCCCACCCCCCACACCCACACC